TCACATCGCATCAAGCAAATCTCCTGTGGATCCGCGGGCAAAGCACCGGGAGAGCTTCATTCTTCTACATGGTCATGAAGGATATTCTGGACCTATCATATTAGTATATGTTTGCTGTATCTGTACATCAATCAATATAATATATTGAATTTGACGTAATTGTTAGAGCCATGAAGGATCGGATCGAACACCCAAAAATGGTTCCGATCGAACCTTGATCATTACAAGACTGATTTCCTCCAAGAAGAGGGCAGACTGTCCGTGTCAGTCCATTTCCATGTTTGCATCTGAAATTGCACAAAGGAGAGGGCTGAATCCCCTTTCTCACTGAAGAGGAAGGTTATCTCGTTGTGTCCACGTGCTCTCTTCCTGTGAAACATGAAGTAACCTTTGCCTTGGAACTGCGAACATGAGCTTGTCAGCGTTTGACCAACGGCAAACCCATCTACAGCAAGCGTTTGCTAGGTAGAACACCCATGAACACCCAACACTGGAATTTCACCCGCTCATCCTTGCTAGCAAAAACACACTGACAATTCGCATTGTGATCTTTCGGCTTTGCTTTGCTCATGTAGATCTGACAGTCTGTCAGTCTGAGCAAACCTGGTACTCACTGCCCAGGTACTCACTGGTTCCCCAGTGACATCACAGTGCAAGAATAACACACATCACATTGCCCTCCCCCCCAACCCAGAAACCAAAAAACACCATACCTGCCCTTCTGGACCTTTCACACATCCACAGGATGGACATGTCTGCCACGCTTCGGTCGCCCCTGCCTTGGCCACGTACTCGACCCTTGGATCCTTCTTCGGTCGAACCACAAACCTGGCAACAACGGTTTTTTTTGGTCACCGGGCTGCCCGATGGAGAAGCATGTGTAACACCGGAAAATACATACTGAAGGCATATGAAACGAAGCCTGGCAGCATTTTGACACAGTCCCCAAGCTTGCTCAGCCCATTCACAGGGTGGTCCGTCGGTAGTACCTTCAACTCTGATAGGTTCTGGGTGAAAAAAAGGTCTCCAAGAGGCTGATGTCACACATTTCAAGGTGATCGCGTTCATTATCCCAGGTGACGCGGGGAACACTAAAGCAAGCAAAAGCTCCCATTACAAAGAGCAACTTGGTCTATCCAGGAATGTTGATGTTCGCCTAACTTATCAAGACTCTTCGCCCTCCAAATCCAACCTCTCGTCCCCCTCCAGATTCTTCTGTACACCGACCGATCCACATCCTCGACACGGGGAACCCCTTCTGCGCACGCTACGCCAGAAGCCCCTCGGCCCAGGATGCTGCCCTTCTCATAGGTGGCCTCGTGAAGGGTTTGGAGCATGGACTCGTGATCGGCCGGGGCAGGTGGTGGTACAACTGGTGGTACAGGCGCTGGTAGAGGTAAGGTGGTGGTAGATGTAAGGTGGTACTGGTCACAAACCGCTTTGTCCGGCATGCCCAGTTGAAGAAGGGGATGCCAGTTGAGGTTTTGGAACTCTGTCCTTGAAATGCAGGGGCTCTTCAAACCGAATATCTGCCACGCCCTTTCAATAATTTAGCACTTCTCCACAGCTATGGCACGCTCTTGAAGACTGCAACACTAGTCACTAGTCAGTTACACTATTGAAGAATCCGATCTTTGACCTAGCCAAAGCAGCCGTTCTTTGACTCTTTTGCCTGCCCAGCCACTGAGTCCGCTGACGCGCCTTCTTTTCACATCATGTGGCTGGTGCAACACAACTGGCGTTGTTTCGTGTCTAGATCTCCGCTCTCTTCCCGCCACGTGGAAAACATCTTGGTCGAAACAAACCACAGAAATAACACCGCCTATTAACTAACTGCAACCACTGCTGACCAACCTCACAGCATATGACTTGCGTCAAAACGGACCTTCTTCCTTCACTTCCAAATAAAACATGGCCTCGAACGAAGCGGGCGGAGATGCAGCATGTCCTCCAAGCGAAAAGGATCAGCGATGGTGGGTAAGGCTGAAACGGGTGGTCCACCAACGAAAAGATCAAAACATATCTAAACAAGTCTACAAAAAACAGGGATTTCTGGGTTCACTGAGAAGTATGGGTTAACATGGGTTGAGTGAGACAAATTCCTTTCAGACAAAGCCTCAAAACTCATAAAAGTTCTGGGTTTGGTTGAGTATATTTAATGTGGACTTGAGAATACATCATCATCAAGCCAAGCACCAACTTCCACAAACTGAGACAAAACACAACACTCATTGACGCACCCGTTTAAGCAAAGCAATATGCTGCATGCTGTCACATATGTCACATATCCAACATCATTCGATCACGAGGCCCACCAAAACCTTGGTATCACACCTTGTTATTATATGATCCCTACCATATTCAGGGGGGGACCTCTGGAAAATGTAAGTTACATTTCTGGAGGTCCCCCTCCATTTTCGATGGTTAACGGGGTAGGGATATTATATGAATCATGGAGTTGTCTGGCGCAAGGCTGCCATCTGAAGCAACGTTTCTGCCACCGTTTTCTCTGACTTCACGCCGGTCCTGGCAAGGGTGCCAAGGGTGGGGAACTCTGGCCGTAGCTTCGGCCCCCCAGGGCGGCAAGTGCTGCCGAATGCCTCGATTCGATGCGGCGGAAAGCGGGTTCACGGCGGGGGCAGAAGCATCGGTGCGGAAACGGCTCCCAATTGGACCGACCCGGACATGGTTCTTAGGAAAAGACCAGCGGTTACCAGGACCCGACTCGTTCGTTCGGGGTGTCTGTTTCTTTTTGGCCCAACTATAGCAGTTAAGTTAGGGGTGTCCATGTCTACCACCCCGAAAGAAGGCCCTGGAACAGAAGTGCATTAATTGTTGTTATACGCGTGACAGGTTCTGAAGCCAAAAGAGCCACTTGACACTCCAAAGGGATAAAGGAACACACGCCTGAGTGTACACCCGAAAGACCAGTGAAGGATGGCATCCAATCCGAAAGTAATCAACCATGGTATGGAGATAGACCCCCACACCAAGGTTGGATACGTCTATTTCACCCCTTCATAGAACTCCAACTCTTTTCAAAAGGCACCCGTCTACGCCCCGTGTACGCCCCAACATCGACATCTCTTCCCAAACATCTGCAGTTGAGCTCGAGTTCCGTCGGGTGGCAACTGCAGTGGAGGCGGCTGCAACTGCAACAGGGAGATGTGGTGGCAGCACCGTCGCCTGGTGGAAACAGGAAGTACCATGCAAGTACGCAAGTACGGCAGTTGAACTGGACTGGGAATCAGGATGAATCAGGTGTGAGAAGGAAACCTTAGGGCTACCTATGGCTACCCGATCCATCAGGGTTGTTTCATTCCTGGTTGAGAATGAACATCCATTTTTAATAATTTTAAGAGGATTTCCTCTTCCGAACCAACTCCTTCCCTGCCAAGACCCTCGGGTCTCAACTCCACACTACCCAACCGGCCGTCTTCTGCAGCTGGCGCCAGCCTGGCGGTCGACTGAGGTCGGTTTTCCATCAGTTTTTCCATGAGAAAACAAGAGTGAACCGAGACCTGGCCATCCTTGTAATGTAGGCTGATGTATTTCAAAAACAAGATGGAACCCACGAACCCGAATGCAAACACCCACTCGAAAACAAACACTCAAACCATTTTTGACGTTCCTGCCCCCTACGCATGAAGGGAAAAGGGGACACTTTCATTTTGCTGGTCTCATTTTCTCTGGTCTTCTCTTTATTGGATCAGTCTGAGTATGTCGACTCGTCTTGTTGCTTGAACGACCGGAGAGACATGCTTCATGGATGGCAGGAGCTTGGATACCGGTCGCTCCCCCACGGTCGCTCCCCGTTTCCCGGCGAGCTCCGCTCCGGCCTTCTCACTCCGATGGCCACGCCGCGTCCCCCGGGCCCAACGAGCTGGGAGCCGAAGAGAAGCGAATGCAGCGACAGACATGGGTGGCTTGAAAGGTCGCTGCATGGGCGGCTTGGTTTTACCGGTGGATCTTCGGAATCCAAACCGACCGGTGGATGCACCGCCCGGAGGGCGGAGGCAATCATAGGAGCCTTTTTGGGGGGGGTTTGGTGCTCTTCTGAGTCACCCGCTCTTGGAGATGCCCATGCTTGAGCAAAAAATCAACCTTGTACGGACTACGATGAAATGACAAAGAAAATAACAACCCACGGGTCATAACGATATCTAACGATCATTGTCGTGGCATCCGTGGCGCGAGCATGGTCGTGTCTTCCGGAATTCCTTCCGGTCTCTCGGGTGCTCTTCATCCCAAGTCCATGCGTGTTCATGAATCCAATCCCATGGAATGACTGAGTGCTTTGAGCCTCTGCCGCAAGCTTACAATCATGATCAGTGTGCCTACCAAGCACATGTAGTACTGAAGATATCGTTGGCTGGTTTTAAGCTTGAAAGATCATAAGAACCATGCAAATGTGGATCAAACTAGCGAACCCGGTCTTGTACAGTTCAGTAACATACGTTAGCTGGCAAATTGGTGCAACCCATGGCACTGTAAGGGATGGGTTTGCAACTCAACCTGGCCTTACTGGCCACAAGTAGCAATGCCCTTCGTCTGCACTTCCCTGGCCTCGACTTGCAGCTTTTCACTTCAAAACACTCTGAGACAAACTCGCATACTGCGAGGTCCATCGAGCATAAGAACCTGAAGCTGGCAGTGAGATAAGAGCGATGCATTGCAGAAGACATGTGCTACTGACTCATAGGATCCCTTTCCAAACCACCAACTAGTCACAAGTCAAAACGTGTGAGAACTCACCTGGAACCCTCGCTGCCAAGCTTCTGCGCAATTAGACAAGCTCATGCTCAACTTTTTGGCTTTGCCAAAAAATTGCTATGTTTGAAATCTGCTTCTGCAGCGGCGTGGCCCCTGGCCCACCCGGTACCCGGGATAAAATCAACAGACGTGGGATCACCACTTGCAGCAAACACCAACATGACACTCTGCAAAGAACACATTTCAATGTCAAGGTCAAGACATTCTGCAACGCCAACTTTCAATTGCTATGGTCCATGGTTGGACATTACGTCGATGGGTGATTCGACATCTGGGATTGCGAGCACGGTGCCAAGCATGTGTTTTAAATTCGACGATCTTTGACGGCTGGCCACGCAGTTGCAAATCACGGCGTCGGCAGTGCAGGTGGTGCGGGCGGGCGCCCTTCAGTGGGAGGTTGTGCAGGCACACTATAGAGATCACGTCACCAAGGTCGGTGTTCTTGACTTGGATTGCGACATGACCAAGTCAAGAATGGATCGGGCAAGATGGACTCCACAATTTTATGCAAAAGTCTCGGAAATGGGATATTTTAGAAACCATTAGATCTATTGCCATGAAGTATTGTGCTATGTTGCGCTTAAACTTAGAGCACAACAGTTAGCACTTTCGAGTATTGACAAGCAAACTCTTATATAAATGTAATGCAACCTATATAGCCATCCTAAGCGGCACTGCAAACAAGCGCGCACGGGCCGCAGCCTCAACCAACCAACATTGTGGCGCGGCCTCAACCAACACGGAGGCGCGTCCCAGTGGGCCGCAGCCTCAACCAACAGGTTGGCGCGGCCCAGTGGGCCGCAAACACATTGGCGCGGCCCAGTGGGCCGCAGCCTGAACCAACACGTTGGTGCGGCCCAGTGGGCTGCAGCCTCAACCAACATGTTGGCGCGGCCCAGTGGGCCGCAGCCTCAACCAACACGGTACCAGCACGTTGGCGCGGCCCAGCCTGAACCAACACGGTGGTGCGTCCTAAAGGGTTGCTTCCTCAAACCAACGTCATCGCATCCAACTCCCCCAAAAAGTGCCGTGCCACCAATGAGTGCGCTGATTCCACCCCTTCGCGGGCGATTTCCGGGTTGGTGCCCGCCCCCCACACCCCGCACCCCGCGCCCCACGCAGCCTCGCTTAGCCCTGCATCGCTCCGCCAGGAGTCGGTCCTGCATCGTCCGCCGCCTCCTTGAGCCGCACGAAGGTCCCCAGCTCGGCGGCCGTGGGCGGCAGGGCGATCTCGCGGAGGCCCCTTCGCTCGGACAGCCTGGTTTCGAAAGGAGCCGGTGCGCCCACATGGAGCTGGTGGGCCAACCAGGGCAAGCTTGGCAGGTATGACTCGGTATGACCTCCTATCCACAGGTTTCCCTAAGCTTTTCTGAGGGGATAGGGGACATCCTAAGCCCTAAGCCAACTGGTGGAAGGTTTGGTTCACCCTCCACTGAAGCATGTTACTCGGATTTCCCACTCCTTTCCTTTTTTTCGGAGGTGCCAGTGAAAAAAAGGTTACAGTCAACTCCTACTAGTAATGTTGAAGAATGGACTGCAAAGGGTTGCTGTTCTCCTTCTGGGATTGTCTCCAGCCCGTTCAGGTCACTTTTTGACCATGACTCTATGCAAAGGGCCCGGCTGGACGGACTCTTGGATGTGTAGAGAGCTCTACTGTGCTCCCCCCCGTGCTCTCGCTTCAGGCACCTACTCTGGAATGTCAATAGCTTGCAGTGGGATATAACTTCTAACCACATGGACTGGAAACAACAGGTCATCCGCTTAAGTCGCTTAAGGTTCCCCAAGACAGTTAAAAAGGTGTTCGCATGTTTCGGCCAACGGAGTATTGCAACACACCTGGTGGGTTTAAGAACTTCAATGAAGTTCACTAACAAAGTACCATCCAGTCCAGGAACAAAAACTCAATGCTTGGATTGTGTAACTCATTGACCAAAAGAGAACTAAGATTGTAGCTCCCACAATTTAGACACATATTCAGACCCCGAATCTTCTCTACACTCTTTACCAATATTATCCAATAAATACTCCCAGAAGCTACTCCTTTGGCCATTCAAGACCCAGCAAAAATTCCTCGCAAAAAAAAGAGGTGCCAACGAACGTCACTATCACTTGATGAACAGCTATGCTTCGTGGAGGTTCGTTCTTCGCGACCTCTCCGCGATCTCTCTCCGCTTCGGTTCGAGAAAAGATCTCGGTCCGTGATCCGACTCAATCACCAACTTCCAACACCCCCGTCCGGGTCTCCGTCCGTCGCGCGAGAACGGGCCAAGCCGCTTGATGCTCTTGCTCCCGTCCGGGAGGTGGACCCGAAAGAGGAGCTGGGCCGGCGCTGGCGAGGTTCGTTCCGGCGTGGGATTCGCAGTGCGTGGTGCGGCCCCCCCTGGAGGGGGCTGCTGTGCCGACTCCAGACCCTCCCAAAGAACCAAGAGGCATCGACAAAAGGGCACGACCCGGTGCTGGCGACAGCAAAGTCACTGTACCTTTCATATCCTTTCATGAGGAAGAGGGTTTCATACTCTCTCTCGCCGTCCACCCACCCAGAATCGGGTCAAATTGTCAAGTTTTTTGAGGGAACAAGGGAACAAGCATGACTCTGGTGGCCCCTCAAAAAACTTGAGTCACATTTTCTGGTGGACTGTATTGACGGCCTTATGCCAGCCTATGTGCTGCCCTCCAAGGAGTGTTTTTTTGAGGCTTAATTAGGTCATATCAACCTTGCTTGATGGCTTCCGGATCATATCAACCTTGCTTGATGGCTTCCGGATGTTGAACGCGACAGGTCAAGAATCTTAAACCCTGCCACCTAGACTGCCCTTAGACCCTTAGCCCTCTCATGCCCTACTCCAACGACCTCTTCCGAGACCAAATTACCTACATTTTGGCACACACCCTCAGGCATACGGCTACAATGCTACAAGCAGCGTAGCCGTACGACTGACCCTAATTACTTCGCGGCCCAGCCAAGGTGCCAAAAGCTGGGCCCCATGCTCCCTGACAAACGTGTACGGTATATGTTGCATGCCTCAACATGACTTACTCAAAGGTTGTTCAGTGTTGTAGTTGTTGACCTATGTTTCCTTGTTCTATTGATTCGAGTGGTGTTTCGAGACCGTAAAACAATCATTTGGTCTCCAACCCACGGTACAAGTTCCCAAACAAGATGTTCCATTAGCATCCCACTGAACATTTCCTTACCAAAGGCACCAAAGTATGCCCAAAGGTGCCTTTGGCGAAGACATGTTCAGTGGCATGCTAATGAACACCTTGTTTGGGAACTTTGGGAACTTGTACCGTGGGTTGGAGACCAAATGATTGTTTTTTTTTTTAAATATACACATGATCATCAACAACATGTTTCTTCCAACACCAGCTTTCTTCCTCTCTTCGGAGTTCCGCGTTCTGACTTTCGTTGTTTCCTCGACACTGGTCCAACCCCCTTTTTCTTCAGTCAGGACCCAGGAGCACTCGAATAGGATCCTGCCCCGTCATGGACCACCTCTCCACATTGCTCCTTCTTTCTCCACTTCACCTCACCGGTGCGAGGTACGGCTCGGGGGACTGCTGACGACCTCGCTCCAAAACGCGGAGGATCGCGCCGTCACCAGGCCCCAGCCAGGTCCCTGGCTTCAACAGGAGAAGATCCTCGCTCCGAGGAGAGGGGTTTGGTTTTCAGGATATCATACAGTACTATATAAGTACTATGTTTTTTTTTCACTTTTTCTCGAGGAAAAGGCAAATGTTCTCTTGGAGCTTTGGATGTCAAACCCCGATGGACCCCAAGAGCTGCACATCTTTAGCTCAAGAAGCTCTTCGACACCATTCAGGCCCAAAAGCATCCAGATCGGTCTCCAACTCCAGTGGCCCATCGATGTGGGAGTTGATAGAAACGTGCACGGGAACCTTCTCAGCACGTTGCTCCGAATACGTTTGGAAGCTCCGTTTGAGCGCCAAGTTCGTGTTCACACTCATGAAATGGCCTGGGGTTTTCAACCTGCAAAACACTGCAAGCGATTTTTTCAGTAATTATATGCCTGCAAGATCTGGCTATAGGTCATGGCGCCGGGTCAAGATGACCAGTTCTTTTTCCCGACCGAAAGAACCGCTCCCTAGGACCGCTCGGACGGGAGGCTTCACGTGCTGCCCCCGTGGCAAGGTGACTCGATCGGGCCCCGACGATCGAGTCGGCCCAAGTGGCCACCGTCCCCTGCTTCGGCACACCCTTGGGCTCCTGAATGAATTCCGCGCGGGCAGTGCGGGCGGAGACCGACCGGGTGATGACGGAGTCGATTTCATCCGAGTCACTGTAACAGTGGAAGAAGTATCAACAAAGGCCTCTATCAAACCATATCAAACCTGACTGATGCCATCCGCATCATGTCAAAGGTGGTCCTTGAGGTGTTTTTTTCTTTCGACATGGAGCCGTTGCATCATTAACCCCATCCCGGCGGGGTTCAGGCACCGATTGGAAGCGACACAACATCTATACCCTGGGAGTCAAAGACTATAAAAAGAATGGTCTGTAGGTGACACGAAGAGTCATGTCCTTTACCTCAGTCAGTCAAAATACAATCTTTGGACTTCTAGGGTATATACATCTATAAGAAATGTAATCGACAAGTTTAGCTCTGTCTAGCAGCGCAGAAGGTCTGAAGGGGAACAAAGGCGATCTACTTAACTGACAGATCGTCGAACAGTGTGGAAGACGTGGAATCACATTGAGATCGTTTTGTCAAGAAGCAATCCAGGGAAGCAAACGACCCAGGGAGGATTTGAACCTCCAACTTCGTGCTTGTCAAGCAGTGTGCAGCCCCCGCAAGGGCAGACAGCTTGCAAAGACGACGCCTTACCCATTAGGCAACTGGGTCACTTATTCTCCAGCCCGGAATTATCGTGGAGCCTGGCTGGATGCTGTCCAACGACGTTTTTTGATCGTTTTCCGCCGCGCGCGCCTCGAGCGCGAAACATCCGCGCCCGCGCCCGCCACCCGCCTCCATGATCGTGACGTAGGGCAACAGCTGCAGCTTGAAAAAGGCAGGGCCCGTGACACGCCCACGGCGATCTGTGGGCCAGGTTCCGGCAGTGGGGCTTGGGTATGTTGGGACTGAGATGGTGCTTGATTCGATGGAGGGATGCTTCAAGCACCCATTTATGATCCAAGAATGTTCCAGAGTTGCTTGGGAAACAACTCTCCATCTATATCTCTATATGGACACCTGCCTGCCACCACGCATTCCTGCTCCGACTTCCCACCCCTTCCCAACCCTTTCCCCCCCCCGAAGTTTCCGGCTCTGGTCGGATGGCCTTGCCCTTCGAAGTCCACCGTGGCACAGTCCTCCTCTTCGATGCGCCGCACCAGGCCCACGCACCCGGGCGGCACGGTCTGGGAGGTCGCCGGACGTTGGAACCGAACGGGCCGAGCGATGGCCGATGGGGTGGCAGCCCACCGGGGCAGGTCGGTTGCCAAGCGAAGAGACACGGGGTGGGCGACGTTGAGTAGTCTCCTTCCACTTAATGGTGCCTAGTAGGTGCCCCCCAGTGCACGTTCCTATAGTGATTAGGGGCAGTGTGCACTGGCTGAGGTCCACAGTAACTTTCTTATATGCTTGCTGAGTGAAGTTTGGCCGAAAACCCTGAAATCCGAAACGAAGTTTGCCTTCTTTCTCCCTTCACCATTTGTTTGCCTTCCTTGGATGAGTCTGTCTCAAGAAGGGCGGACTTGTTTTTCATCTGGCGACCAGCTTGAGATGAAGAGGCGACAGGTTCTGGACAGTAAACCTTGGACAGATCTGTTAGACGTGGTGTGTCCCCACTTGCAAGCATCCCAAGGCGAGAAGCATCGACCAATTTTTAGGGGGGCCGACAGCTTTCTGAGTGGTATAATGTGGTATAATGACATGTCTCCATCAAACAGGATCTTATTCATCAGCACTGTTTGGGAAAGGTTCCCACACATGACCATGAATGAAAGTACCACGTGAATGTCCAAACACTTAACATCCAGGCCGGTTCCGAGTCCAGCACAAACCTCCAAGATTTTTAATCAATGGACATCAACAAGCCATGTAAACCACGTCATGCGTTTCATACGATATTGATGTATTCTGCATTCTGAATCTGTTTCTTAATTCTGGCTCTCTTTTGAATCGAAGGTGCTGCTCTGCTCTGCACGAAGGCCTCTCGAGTCCTGTGCGTTGGATGAGGGACATGGCCGACAACCTGCCTGCTACCCGGCCCAACGTACGAGCACGATGAACACACAACGAAACCTGTGAACAGAATTCGACAGACTTCATTGAATTGTTCCCCACACAGGAGAAGTGAGAAACATCATCGTTCATGCTCAGCTAGTCAGCTAGTTACTCCGCCAAACTACTCTTTCACCTGGAAGCTGATTGTGGACCACTCGACTCAGAGCTGTTCAAGCAAATCTGCTGACGATTGGGCTTTCAACTGCCAACTCCGATGAACTGTGACCACCTCCACCTCACACACTGGTCAAATGATGATTTCGTCGAGCCCGCGTCCGTGTCCCTCCCGTGTCACGGACGTGGCACGTCCGCGCGTGGCCGTTTTGCGCGAGTCCGGCACGCGTTTTGCGCGTCCTCACGAGCTGTCCACATTTCAAGGAGGGTCCATTCCACAGGGTCAGTGCTGGCACCAGCCGTGTTTCATCCAAGCGCAGAAGCAGTGGCCTGGATGGTCAGCAGAATTCAGGACGGACCCCCCGTGGCGCGCACGAGAGTGTCGATGATGGGTGACTTGGTCAGTCGGAGTGGAGGAGGAAGTGGTGCCACAAGATGAAGTTGGGAGCAGCCCATGGTTCTTGATGTCTTGCTGAACAAATATATCTCTGACTTCATACTGATCCCTGTTGTTTGCTGAAAGAGGTGATACGGTGTTACGATGGTGGGAGTGGCTTTGCACATCTTTGCTGAGACGCTCTGGATGACTACACAAAAGTGGTTCCAGTTTGTTGAGAATTAAGTGTTCCAGGATGTTCCAGGGCTCATTTTCCACCTCCATGTTTGGTTTTCGGGAGGGTATACCAATTGACAGGTTTTCCTCTGCGTTCCTTTGGGGACAAAGGGGATCATAGGGGGGGCCCATTGAGAGTGATGACATAGGGGGCCTTCTGCGGCAGCAAGGATTTGAGGATTGGGAAGCAAACCAGACTCCCAACAAAGGTCTCTGGAAGGTGCATATCATGGAGGAAGGGATTGAACATGTCGGGATAAAACCAGAATGCGGCACACTCGTCACCGTCGAGGGAAGCACCCAGTGTCTTTGACATGTCTTTTCTATCTTTTCGAAAGTAATTGTGGGAGGTTTCATGGTTTTGGAATGTTTTGGGGGATGAGCCACTTTTGGTCTTGAATTTTGTTAATCTCACAATAAGAGGATCCATGGGGTCGACACTGGTCTCTGCGGATGATACATGATGATACCAAAGGCATCCAAGCGACAGGAATGACCCGTCCATGAGACGCAACCAGCCAGTGCCTTCGTCAAAGCCTCGGGTGACCTAAGGTCGAGCGCCCAGTCCCCGGGAAAACCGCCCGGCGACGGCCCCGCACCGCGGCAGGTTCCCTGTGCACCCAAAGAAAGCATCGCGGTGGTCCAATTGATTCGGGTTCCATCACTCGAAAATGGGATCCCAATGAATCTCATGGACACTCCCTGAAAGAAGCACGGAAATCATAGAAGTGGATGGCAATGGCCTCTTGGAAAACCGTGAAATCCTCTAGAAGGGGGGTCCTGGTCAGCTGCCATGAGTGTTGGAGGGAGGGAATGCAACAAAAAAATGGTAAGAAATAGTAAGTGGCCAATTGTTCCAAATACCAAAACACACGTATATAGACTCCAATAAGGTCATTTCGGGCTCCCCAAGCTCCTTGGATTCCAGGACTACTTGACTTGGTCTGCCTGCTGACCTGGACAACTGAGTTATGGACAAGTCACTGGCTTTCCGGCCACAAAGCCCTAACACCGCTGATGTGGAGCTCGATGGATTTCGAACCAAAAAGACCCAGCGCATTTGGGTGCCCCATGTTCTTCGCCCACCGGTTTACAGATTTCAGGCGGAACCACCGGGATTGTTCCGCGAAGCGTCAAGTTCACATCTGATCATGGAAGTGGAAAACCACTTGTTTGTAGAGGATTTCATGGTCATTCAAGTCATCCAAGGGGCCATGCCGTGCTGTCCACTAGTCCAGGCAATTCCCAAACTCACATGATGCACTTCTTGAGTCTTGCACGTGCTGAACACCATCCTTTTGTATCCTTTTTACAGGTCTTGTTGCAAGATGTTGCAAGATGTTTTCATTGAAAGACCAACCAGGGTTCTGAAGAAAGGTGCTCCAAAAAGCCACAGGATCATAGCGCATCGTCTGGTATTCTCTACTCCTTCGGGTTGATCCCCCTTTCACCCTACCAGATCCCACCGCTGTTTCTCCACACCCGTCAGGCCCGTCAGAGATCCCCATCCGAGCTACATCTCCCTCAGAGAAGGAAGACTTGCCTGGCCGGTGTGGCCCGGGGGGTGCGATCCAGGGGTGCCGTAAGATCCAGGGGTGTGCTTGACAACTTGTCCACTTGGGGATATATCGAACTGAGTAATTGTGGTGGCTGACTGACAACTAATTGTAGCCGGGCAGTCCTTTCTTGACGATTCTTTCGTGGCTCTGAGGTGCTCTGACCATGATCTCCCACTCATCGATTGAATATTGAATTTGGTGGTGACCAGGATAGTTGGTTCCACAAAACGTCTACATGCAGCATCTAGAATCTAGCGGTGTCTTTATCCTTCTTGATTAATCTTTACCTTGTTCCCCACTTTTCCTGCAGTGCTCCATGATCGCTGGAGTGTGGCAGGACGTCTTTCGTTTTCGCCCCACCAAAAACATCCCAGTGTGTGGATGTACAATAAATAATGTAACATGTCCAAGTGTGGAATTCGTGAACACTTGTTAATGACAAAGTCCTTTGCTATTGTTTTGAACACTTGTGTAACATGTAACATGGGCCAATGACAAAGTCTTTTGCTACTGACATCCAGGACTTGGGTGTAGTTGGTTGGTTGGCACTGATGACGCAGATCTCCGGGAATACGCAGGAGCCTCATGGTATGATCAGCTGAAAGACGGCTTGTCATACATGACCAGGTCAGGTCAAGGGGCATTGTCCGCCGTGGGCATGTTTTGTCACGAAGCTCAAATAGACAGCTTCAAGCACAGCTTCAAGCGACTTGGCTTCACTATCTCCATCTCTCTGTGTTTGTGGGGGGCATTTGCCATGATGTCCCCTCCCCTGCGACTGGCGACTGCAGGGATGCCTTCGTCGCAGTCCTCCAGCATCAAGGGTTCGGTGGGCTCCGAACTCTGTCGGTTCAGGCAGGGGAAGGGCCTCTTGGCGCGGCGGCGCCAGCAGGAGCCGTTGAGCAGGTACCTCGTACCCGAGCTCGGCCCGGCTCGGACGAGGCTTGGTTTCGGATCTGCTTGGGACGGCTTTAAAGACGAACAACTGGGGAGCCGAGGAATAGGTCGAATAGGTGGACATGCCTATAAGATCCTGGTAGTTCAGTTCAATTTTGAAGGGTCCAGTGTCCGGTTTCGATCTATAGCCACGTATTCCTCAAACAGGAAGTTCAAATGGACAGACTCACAAAGATACAAAACAAAGAACAGGTGCTTCTGGAAATTGGTTGATGGCCTTGGGACAGGCTCTAGACTACCATGGATACAGAAGGTGCTCTTGGCATTCAACCTGCAACAGTATGCAACAGTGTTTTCTTCCCACATCCAGATCATTCTACATGCCATCCATATGTTTTGCCACACCCCGATTCCCTTCTCCACTCTGATTTCTCTCCCAGCGGCGACTTCTCCGCAACACAACGCAGGGCAAAGGTCTCGGGGCTCATGGTGACCACGAAGTCAAACCTCCAGCACCGATCCCCGCACCACCACCGGCGACCCAGACTGCCGGCGGGATCCCGTGGTTCGGCGTGAGTGAATCAGCCGAAGCGGTATTGAAAGAGATTTGGGATACCTACCTAGCGCTTCCTGTCGGAGTGCCCTGTCTGGAGACCTGTTTACGTGTGGAGATATCCAGCCACATGACCCCGAACGGAAGCAGCTGGAGTTTTCCCGTGCCCACCCCTTTTCTTTATCACATGGTGGATATTTTTCTTCCACAGAACGCCCGCTGGTTTGAAGCTTGCCAAAAGGAATCCTTGCCAACCCTATGGACTTCAAGCGGCCAAAAGCCATGCCATCGAACATGTGACATGTCCAACACACATCACATGTTGATGGGCCAACAAACATGATGGGTAGAAAAGAATACCTGTCCATCACAAGAGGCATTATGTAACTGCAAACAGTCCTATGCAAAGGACGACCTAGGTCCACCGGGGACCGC